TTGCATTTGGGTTTCTTCCTTTATTTATTTTTTTTCTCAGTTAAAAAACAAATGCCAGATTCCTGTAGAGGCAGTTTAACCACAGCTATTAATGTGTTTGTGGCCCGTTACCACACATGAGCTTTGTGATTAAAATTAGGCTATTAGAAGCAGCCAGTTTCTTGGAGAATTACAGAAAACACTGGGGGAAGTGATTTCTTTGAAAACAAAAATTGAATCAAATAATATGTTTCCAATCATACTAGATGGGGCCCACTTCTTCTGTGAGTTTTGGGAGGGTAAACGGGGAGAGATGTGACTGAAGACAATGGCATTTCACACTGTTACAGTTGGTGAGGATTAAAGGAGGCTCAGGTCAATTTTATTAAGTGTTCAGTGTTTCTAATCAGCTTTGCAGCTTTTCAGCCTTCTGACTTAGTTCTGAATTTTGCAGGAAGTTGCAGTCTTACAACTGGTGTGAATCTGACTATCCTGGACCAAAAAAACCCCTGACTTTTAGGACATTCGAAAATTAGAGTTCAAATTAGAGCCTTTTTCTCTTGTCTGTACGTTGTATAAGCTGCTGAATTTAAAATTAGACGACTCCATTGATGTATTTTGGGCAGAAGGGGCTGAAAATGAGCATTTCATAGTCTGAGGGCGATGCCCTTCCTTGGGTTTGTGGATAGAGCTAGAGCAACCAGCCCATAATACAGCTTCCCTGAGTTTTCATGGCCAAAAGCAGCTTAGCCAAGTCCCCTGGCTCTATTTGCATTACCCAGCGCACTGTAAAATTATCTGAGCTCCACTCTTTGGTGTGACATGACAGATTTTTGGATTTATTTACACTTAATTGCCTTTGTTGAGCAGAAATATTCTGAAGCCAGATTTAACAAGGTATTTAGTTATCATAAAGACCAAATGACTACGATGATTTTGAAGTGTATCTATCTGAGTTCGAGACCTAGAGCTGATGTTTAGTAACTTTATTATTAGGACTTAAGGATGTCACCCACACAGGTACTTCCCTAAAACCTGTCTGCATCCCTAAGGGTCTGAATACTTTTGTAAATCAGTTTGTGGATCTTTTTTGGAATGGCGTTTAGGCTCCCAAGTCGCCTGATATTTTTGTAAACCCGCACTACTAGTCACCCGTTAGCTATGAAGGAGAAAATTATGCAACTATCTCAGTCCCTAAAGACAACGGTTGGGAGTTAGGAGCCTGGTTCTTCTCCCTGCACCATTGCTGGCTTGTTATTTGATCTTCAGGTGCTCCAGCTTTCAGCCCTGCAGGTGATGTTGGTGGTTGTGAGCTTTTACAAAGCCCACCAGTATTTTTTCGGCAGGGTTGCAGAAACACAGAGCTATAAGATGATGCGTATCAACGTGGGGCTGTCTTTCAGGTGGCCCAGAGGGTCTCAGCCTGTGCTTGCTGGCAAATTTGCAAATGTGCGCTGCGATAAAAACTGTGAGTTTAATTGCTTCTTGGGGTTTGTAAGCGAGAACCGTGACAGCCCTGGCTTTTTTAGTGGGTTTGGGCTGTAAGTGACAGACATTGAGTGGAGGGTTATGCGATTTTCCATTCATTCCTCATGAGCGCCGTCGCAGGCTGTAATCCACCATGTTAGCGATTGCAACCCTTTGAATGAGCGACCGTGGTGCTCGTACCACGTTAATTCATTGTACTTTCTGTGGCAAGATTTCTCACTTTGCTGGAAGGGACTCTTCTGCAGGCTTGTCGCTTGTCCATCCAGTTTACTTGACTGCTCTCTGGCAGTCGTGGAGTATTTCCATCACCCATGCAGGGTTTGTGAACTCCAGGACAGGCAATCTCTTGGTGTAAATCTGTGTGGTCAGTGGGGCTGCTTCTGGGAGGCATTGACTGAGAGTAGGAGTAAAGGTTCAACATCTGCGAGGCTATAAAATACTCAAAATGGTCAAAAATATTCTGCTTATTTCAATGAAAATTGACACTCGCTTGGGGGAGTTGCTAGGAAATAATGGCTGATGGCATCCTCGCAGGTGGAAATGCCATGAAGTAGTGATAAAAGGGTCTGATTCTGCCACCCATAATCATTTCAGGCATTTCTTTTGCTCAGCTGCAGAGCCTGGCAGGGACCAAGGAAGATCTCACCCCTCCGGTCCTCTTCTTGTAGCTGCTTTTATTAAACAGGCGTCTTCCCTGTCAACGTGAATAAAGGGAGGAGAGAGCAGTTCATTATCCAGTGTATCACTTTGAGTCTAATACTAATTAAAAGCTTTGCCTTCACTTCTGTGGAACCTATTCTTAGAAATTATGTAAATTAATTGGAGTTTTGAAAAGGAACATATGCCAAATCCTAAGTAATTTCCTGCTGGCTGAGGCAACTCCAGCGCTGGAACTGGAGAATGGCATCAAGATCTCTTTTTTCCTTTTGTGCCTGCAAAAATCTAAGGCTGCTTCTGTAAGTTTTGATGCTTCTCTTTAGCAAATATATGAGAGAGATCAAATATCCAGACCCTGCCCATTTACCAGAGAGGTACGATACAAAGGCTTTTTTTCTCCATGAAAGCTTTTCCATCTCAAAAATGACATTTAACACAGACGAGCTTTTTACTTTTGCAGCCCTTCTCCAAACAAATGTACAATTTTGCTTCAAAGAGGATTTTGACCCTCAAAAGGGAGACATACCCAAGAGCCCATGAACTTCCCTCGTGATTTCACTCTCACTATTAATTTAGTTGGGAAGATATTTGCATGTTACGCTGAATGAGAAAGGAGGTTTGATCCTAAGGTACATGAAGAAAAGGGGATATGCTTTTGAAGTAAAATAGCTTTAAATGGTATTAGCTTCTTTTTTTTCTTTCCCCTGCCTGATTATTTTTGTCCCTTTGAAAAGGGACAAACAAATAGAAGGGGAAGAACCAAAGAAACAGATTAAAATAAAAATGAGAAGCAGTGTGGTTTGGTCTCGAGATATTTTGTTCTCAATCAACAAATCACTGAAAGTTGATGAAACTACTTGCATGTTTAAAGATAAACATGATTAAGTACTTCGGTGGATCTTGGCTTATTATGTATTGAAGCTGGATACGAGCGTGAATTGAATCGTGGAACTTTTGGTGGGAAGATGCTGTAGTCTAGCATCTACATCCTGCTTCCAGATGTACATTTTGCAAAGTTGTCTTTTCTTTACAACCTCACCCTTAGGATTAAGAGACGCCGAGTGTGGATGCTCGTGGAGGAGGAGGCAGCCCCCCATGCTTTTTGCCTTTGGAGATTTAAAGTTCAGAGCTGGCGAGGTCTGATTTTTGCAGCCATCATCGTTTTCCAGCTTTTCAGTATTAAAGATGGCAGTTTTGATAACCTGTCCGTCCGATGCGTCCCTGGTACTGTGCAACCTCTGTGTACAAGGAGCCAGATTCTCTTCCCTGGTTCAGACTTCTATTCAATGAAACGTTGTCTGTGAAAAACTGCTAAAAATGGGTCTCCTGTCTCTCTGGGGCTTTAGTGATGTGGAAGCGACTGCTGCGGTTATGCTACACTGCAGGATGCCCAGACTTCTGAATGTCTGCTCCTTACTCAGCCATTAGTTCATTGGGCTCTGGGCCATTATTGCTAAATCTTCCTTAGTTTCCCCGTCAGTATATACTTCTGCTGTGAGACTAAATCCATCGTGATTTTGGTTTTTTTAAAGTGCTTTTTGGTTCTCACAGGAAAGTCTCCGTTAACATCGCAGGCTGGCAAGATGAAAACAATTAATTTAGCCGTGGTTGGAGCTTGTAAAAATCGTTATCTATAATGACACCAGGAATGTAGGAGCCCAAAATAGAAGTTGTTAAGTCTGCAAGTGAGAACAGTTCTTGGGAAAAGAAAGCACAATGACGAACAACTTCGGATCAATAGGAAATTGTTTTGGAACAAGAGTACAACGTGTAGCAATGAATGTAGATGGGAATGACATTGCTAACCACTTATTAGAGAGAGAAAGCTTTCTGCATGTATTTTGGAGTTGTCTGTGTGTGTTAAATATAATACCATCTCTTTTTATGCTTGTATTGGCTAAAGCACAGATGGTTTAGAAATACTGTAGGACATTTTTATTGAATGAACACAAAATACGGTCATTACTGTGGAATTAGGATGCCAACTTGTAAGCCTATTAAACACAGGTCACGAGGGATGGAGAGTAATTTGATAGATGTTAGACACTAAACTGGTGTCAAATCAGGGAGTTGAACCTAGGATGTTCCTGAGTTTCAGGAAAGCATCCTGCTGCCGTTCCCAAAGCTGCTGACTGGAACCTTCTGGGTACAGCTGAGTTTGATCCTGAGTGAAAGTGTTGTGGTGGGCATCTACCTGAACACAATTGCATGTTTTCCCACCAAGATATTCTCTTATTGCTCACATTTTGGGTCCAAATTCACTGTATGGGCCTTCGTCCACCTTTAGTCTTCTGTCTGGAGAAAAGACCTTTCCACCTTGCAACACATGGAAACCAACACAGGTCCTTATGTTGGTGCCTGCAGGAGCTGGACATCCATCAGTGTAAATCAAGGCCATCCTGAGCTGTTTGTGTCTGTGTTGTGCATTACCCTGGGGGACATCAGGTGAGGTCCTCACACCTTCAGACCCTCAGTTGCTCTCAGGTGGTAGTGGCTATCAGAGGTGAAGAGACTCTGCCCAGGGGACATTTTCAAATAGCCATTTCTCAGATTGGTTTTTCGTTTTGGTGAGTGCTATCTCCTTGTTGACCAAGTTCAAGTTAGGTGCTGCTGATGAGATGGATGCACATTGCATTTTAGATATGAGGGGACTGGCCCTGCAGATCTCTCCTCTAGGAGTCTTTCAGTGGTTGAGTTCACATGAAAAGAACATAAAGATCAGGAGCACCCAGTTGGAGCTGAGGGTCGGTCTGGTCATCAGCTAAGTGACAAAACCCACATGGACACCTTTCAAATAGTTACTCAGGTGTATCGGCCCCTCCTTGGTGAACATCACTGACATACCATGTGTTCCTCTTCTCCATCTCTTCCTGCAGGACCATGCTGATTTGCGAAACCACTTCTTCACTGTGGGGATGAAGCTGGAGGCGGTGAATATAAGGGAGCCGTTTCATATCTGTCCTGCATCAGTGACCAAGGTGAGCTCCCAGAAAGGAGGGATGAAAAGAGCCTGATTAGGAGCCTCTTACTGATTTCCACCACATTTAGAAAAACTCGAGAGTGGTACTTAATTGGCTGGAGAACAGATTAAGAAATATGTTTAAAATCTATGAATTTTCCTAATTAATTAATTGTTTCTTTCCTGTAAGCATCACCAGCTGACTGTATGTACTTAGATGCAATGGGGATGAGCAGGTCCATCTACCACTTCCATGAAAAAAGAGGGATTCCTCTTTTATCTTTGTTTCACCTCCATGCAAATATATTCTCCCTGCACATCTGGGAAACCTTTTGAAATAAAACAGCTGGATGGAAGCAGTAGTTGGATATTTAATCCACACTCTCAAAGTGAAGAGAGAGGAAGGCTGTGGGGTCTCCAGGCTTGCCTCCAGTCCTTACTCAGCTGTGGGTACACCTGCACTTGTCCTTGCCTCAGTTTTCACCCATTTCTAAAACTCAGGCTCGGATTGGTTTGGTAGAAATACTTTGAGGAAAAGTGTGAGGTGAGAGTGGATTATTTTCAGGAGTAGTTTGACTCCAGGGTCTGGCTGTTGCAGCTTTCAACTTTACTTAATGTTACAGCAAATTTAGCATCTGATTTTGGTTTCTTCTTTTTCACTCCTTAGGTTTTTAACAATCACTATTTGCAAGTGACCATTGATGACTTGAGACCTGAACCCAGCAAAATCTCAATGCTTTGCCATGCGGATTCCTTGGGGATCTTGCCAATACAGTGGTGCCTTAAAAACGGAGTCAATCTCACACCTCCCAAGGGTTCGTATTCCTTCTTAGTGATTTGCAGCTGTCCTCTGAAGGAAGTTTGCTTGCTCTAACTTCCTTTAAAACCATGATGCTGTTCACTGCAGAGCATCACCTCTGGAGTCACAGGGGCTGTTTTGGCTCATACCAGCCCACGAACATCTCTTCAAACGTGTCTTGCTGGTGATTTGATGTCTGTGTGCTTTGTAGTCTGAGGCAAGCTGCACCAAAGCCTAATGAATTCCTGTGAAATGCATCTTAGCGATGCTATGTGTGTATAGAGAGCAAAAGGAGCATTAAAAGTCATATCATGCTAGAGGCAAACCAGGCATATCCCTGTAGCATCCACTTTCGTACCATGCTGAGGCCAAGCAAAGCTCCTAAATCTAAATATCTGAACAAAACTCACAGCTGCCTGCCCAGGAGCATGTAGGCATTTCCTTACCTGTCTCAAAAAAATCCCAGGCGAGGGCAAATTGCGAACAGCATTCAGGTCAGAGCCAGGAGAAGCAGCCTCCAACCGTGCTATTTCCCAACTTTGTAGCAGTGTAGTTAATTACTTGCATTTTCAGACAGCCACCTGCAGTGCCCCAGCCATATTTCTTCTCTTGCTAATTTTGTTGGTTCTCTGGAATTTTAGGTTTCTGAAGCTGGCTGGGATGTTGACCCTTTGCCAAAAGTTGGTGTTGCTTGGGAGAAAAAGAAATGCCTCAAAAAAAGAAAAGAAAAAGTTTTGTGCACTCAGATTTGTCTTAATTTTGGGAAAAAAAAGTATGCTGCTACCAAACCCAGGGAACCAAAGGGTTATTCCCTATCCAGTTTTCAGAGTCCTCTTCTATATATTCAGAGTGTCTCTTCAATACGTGTAATTTGAAATTCCCGCCAAAGTCCTGGAGTCCTGTGCGTGTCGCTTCATACAGTGTGTCTATGATTATGCCGTTGCTTTTACTGAAATAAACGTGCTGTCTGGATGCTTCAGCTTCCTCCTGCTTAAATCCAGGTGTAATGATAACGCCTGTATAACTGCTCACTGATAGTGGCCAGAGAAATTGCTAAAAATGAAATTAACTGGAATGTTTTGGTTTTTCCACTGTAAATGCATACGCACCTTCTCCCAGGCCGGCTAATTAACTGAAGTAGACCATAGGCCAGACATTTCTCTTTACAGGGTCATGGCCTAATAATTTCCAACCCATGCTGGTACAAAGCCTGTCTGAGATGGTGGTTTATGGGTCAAGTGCATGCCAACTCTCTTTTAGATGCCAGTATTTTTAGAAGTGGCTGTAGCATCCATCATTTGGATATTTTTCAACTTGGCTGGTAAAGTCTATGGATGAAGTGGGTGTCTGGTCTGATGTCTGGTGATTGGAGTCCACCTAGCCTCCTAAGAAGTTGTAGGAAGTCTCCACTCATTCCTCTGATGAAAATAAAGTTTGCTTTCTGCTGTCAGATCACAAGTCCCAGAGGGAAGCTATTAAAAAGGTGTAAAGCAAGTGGCAGATAGATGCATGCTGTATATTGGTGTATTTCTTACACTGTGAATGAAAGCTCCCAGCTGAAAGTGCATTTTAGCACCTTTGGTGTCAAAAACCTCTTCTATTGGCAGACATGCTCGATGAGTCACTAAAATGTAATCAGACGTTGAGGTGATTTCTTTTAAAAAATAAAGCAAGCACGAAGAAAAACCACAAGCTGTCAAAAGAAAAAATAAAGCAGAGGGAAAGTGAAAAGCATCCAAACCCCCATTGAGGCAGCCAGTCTTCTGTGAGCAGAATAATACCAGCTTTGGATAAAAAAAAATAACCAGGATGATAAAAGCGGGCTACAATGCTGCGAAGGTGAGGATGGCTGTGATGTGAGCTGGCGTGCAGAAGGAGGAGGAAATCCCACCATTTCCACCCAAATTTCTGGACAGCTCTACTTGCTGCAGGGTCTCCAGAACTCCCCCTTCGTGAACGAAATTTCGGCAGCCTCCTGCCTCCCTAGCACTCACCCATTCCCAGCTAACATCACCCTTAGCAAAGGACATGTTGACAGTATTTCGTGTTGCCCTGTTGAAAGGCAAGAAGTTCCTGTGGAGCAGAAGATGACAACTGAACAAGTCCTTTTTCTTTTTGTGAGATGGATTTCTTTGCTGTATTTTGAGCTTGGACTTTCTGGTTAATTTATAGTTCACAAGGATGTTTCCTGATTTTAAAATTAATTGACTTTATTTCATCAGAACAGCGTGCCAGGTTGGGGTATTTGGGTTCAGAGTCTTTTATCTGTCTGGTACCCGTTCTCTTGCCTCTTTGCCTATCAGACCTTTGCTGAAGCCAAACACACAGTAGATGAGTCATGAACAGGAGGTGCAAACATTTGCTAATAGAAACAGAGAGCAGTATTTTCCTGTACAGTGCCAAAAATTAATACCCATTTACTGCTGCTGTATAAACATTGAGCAAGCACTGTTTATATTTATTAGGGATGGATTTATAGACCCCTTCCCTTCAGAGTAACAGCCATTGTTCCTTTTTATGAACTAATAAGAGAAGGGGAAAAATGTTCCAGTAATGCTTCTACTTGTAAGGCTTACTAAGGAAATGCCATTTCCCAAACCTCCAGTACATTTGTATTGTTAGAATTACTGCTGTTTAGAGTGCTGGGCTCTTCTATGCTGAGAGCTGAGGTAACAAACACAACGAGGTTTCACACGTTTGAGGAGCAGCACTTGAATCTCACAAGCAAGGCTTTGAACGTGCTGTGCTGAGCCTCGCCAGAGGGCAGTACGTGAATCGCATGTGCTGATGGAGGTACTGGGTACATGGTACCTCCCCATGTGCTAAAGGAGGTGCCTTATGTCATGATGCTCCAGGAAAAGGCCACGTACAGGTCCAGGTTTGGCTGAAGCCAATTCCTGAGTATGCTCCCCTTGGAGGCCTCCTCGCGGGGCTGCTGAAGTGAGTTATGGTAAATTCTCTAACTGCCTTCCCGGGTTTTGTTCCTGGTGAAGTCTACAGCAAAAGGTCTTCCAGTGATTGCAGTGATTCAGGGCCAAGCCAAGAGGTGGTTGTGTGGTGATGACACAGATGAGTTTTTATACCTCACTGAAACCTTGTCGGTGTGCCCTTTCCGTCCTCTGTGCCAAGATTTTGCAAGGCTTGTAATTAAGATTCAAAACCCATCTGTGAGGGGTTTAAAATTGGAGATGAGATATACCTTCAAGGTGTGGGCAGGTGTTTGAATCCCTGAAGGCAACATCCTCTTGCAGGTGGGATGGACCCCAGGTGATTTAATGTAGGCAGTACACTGTGGCTGTCCCCACCTGAGCCCATCACCTTCTTCTGGAGTCAGTGGAGAGTGAGAGGGACTTCCACAGGGTGGTTCTGCTGCTTTTGCAAGAGGACAGATAAATCACCCTGTTTCTCCATTGGCTCTTTAGGCAACCCAGGGTGACAGGCACAGCTAGAGATGTCTCCACTGCAAGCATCTGTATGCCATCAGATGAATCCCCTTCTGACGCGAAGTGATGTGCACTTCTCCTATTTTCCATTTCATTTTACAAAGCTGGGAAGTATCTGGCACACAAATAACTGGAGAGAAAAAGGGAGATGGAGAAGAAGGGGGAAGAAAATACTGTTGCAGAAATTGGTTGTTAAAAAATGGTGCAAGGATTTTTTTATATGTTTTGTATGAAAAATGAACATTCTCTATAAATAATTCCCCTTTTTACTTTCCTGTGCGTGTCTATTTCTAGCTTTCCAATTATTATACACTTTTATGCCCTAGAGAGACAGGCATCTTAGCTCCAGGCTTTATCTCATTAATTTGTTTGTCATGTATGCAATCATTAGGATTAGAAGTTCATCTTAGCCCAGATACTTGCATCTTAGCTGGATGCTGGGGACTTTAAAATTTTTACCACTCTGTTTTTGGATCTGGGTGACTGATAGGTGAGTCTGCACAGTATTCCAGTCCTTTCTTGCCTACAAAAACTGTCACAGTTTTCATTGTTGTAAATGATTCATTCCCACCTGATCTTGAGTGTCCCTTTTTGACTGTCAATGAAAAAGGCATTAAGAGATGTTCTATGAGATGAGGCCGGGCTGAGATGCCAGACTGGGAGATTGAGGGGACAGTTTGGCCTTCAGGTGACTCCTAAAACTTTCCAGTGAGAGTAGTTCTGCAATCGTCTTATTAGAGTATCAGCAGTATTGTCACAGGGCCCTGGGCAGGATTAGCACTCACTGGTTTCAAGTAATACAAAAAAATAGATTAAGAGGTGAACAAAAAAATAAAAACACTGAAAAGGAAAAAAAACACCACCACCAAAACATTCTCTGTCCCAAGAATTTTTTGCCTAGTGAGCCAGGTAAGAAGAGTAGATGAGCAAGATGTCTGGTTTGTGATGGGACTGTTAGAGAAATGCTCATATAAATCAGTGTTGCCTCCCATTTTTCCTAGAAGCAGAGGTTGGAAAGGATCAGCTAGTTGCTGAGACTTTAGTCTGGGAGCTGGGAAGTCTAGGTTCACTTTCCTGCCCTGCTCCAGGTTTCTACACAGCCTTGGATAACATGCTTACTGTGATGGGATTCAGCTCATGTACGCTGAGCTGCTGGAAAGTCAGTCATGGAGGGTGCATCCTTACCAATGAAGAGAGGGGAAAATTTATCTTATGATTACAGAAAGAGGATGGGTCAGCTTCTGACAGTGCTGGTCCTCTCCCTGTCCACTGCTGAAGGACCCTTGATGTCCAGCTCCATAACACCATCTTTTGGATAAATAAAGAAAGGAGAAAGAAGTCCATGATGGGTCCCACCTGGAAATTGGAGACAGTAGCACTTCTCAGTAGTTATGGGTTTGTTCAAGCCTGGAAGATGCTCACAGAAAACGGGAAAAAACGGAAAAAAACTATTTTATTGCTTGTTAACAAAGGCCTGGAGTGTTCAAAGTGAAATGGAGAAGGCATGTGAGTGTGGGCTGGAGAAGCATTGGCGTTGGCTCTCATGGTGTATAAAGAGACATCCAGAGAGCTTGTCTGCTGATACTGTAGAGTTCACTGAGGCAGGGTGGAATGCTGAAACCCAAATGGTCCTCTGCTTAGGGTCCATTTCATGCTTTCTTGTCTGGTGTGAAGTGGTGGCTGATGGCACTTTCTGTTTTATCATCCTCCAGGTTACTCTGGCCAGGACTTTGACTGGGCAGACTACCAGAAGCACTGTGGAGCGGAGGCAGCGCCTCACCTGTGCTTTAGAAACGTAAGTTCCCTTTTTTGCCTTTGTGTTGCTCCTGTGGATCCATGTGAAACAAAACGGCTTGCACAGAAAAACTGCAGCAAGGCTTTGGGAGCTTCCCCCAGACCACCATGAGTCTGCCTTAAGAAGGAAGCTAGAGAAATGGTTCAGGTCTTCATCCCTAAAAGAGAAAATAATGTTATTCTTATCTTTATATGATTAATTTAGATGTCCTGCTCTTCATCTCCTCTCTGAGTTTGTAAAGCACCTAGCACAGGAAGGGTCTCAACTGACCATTACAAGTAATTCAAGTGATATTAAAAAATTAAAATAGGTAAAGAAATTGCGTGGTGTTGTCTGCCCCTTTTCACATTTTGGGTGTTTTCTCCGGTTTCCATGAGTATACATTTAACCAAACCAAAAGTATTTAAAAGCTAAGGTTGAAACCACTGAGCTCAGTGTGAGAGGAGTGATTAACCCGCCTGGATATTCTGATCTTCGGGATGGTTCATGTGCTTCCTCGATACAGCAACGGTGATGAGAGAGTGAGTAAACACATCGTTACGCTGAGGGCCATCAAGATTCAGAGCTTTGGAAACAGTCTTTTGCAGGCTGTTTGCTGGTAATGACAGTCTGTCCTGACTTATTCGTGACAGGTATTCATCATTGGGTGAAAGGCAGATGTAGCCTTCCACCTTTTCCAATAACCTCGTGCTCTTCATGATGCTCCCATCAACTGGTGGAAGCTGAGATCTCATCAGTAACTGAAAATGTGGTGGTACCTGAAATGAGTGCAGAAAGGTTTGCAAAAAAAAAGAAGACAAAAAAGAAGTGGTGTGAACAGTGAACAAACAGCAGGAGTTACGTAGCCTTTCAGAAGTCACGCGGCTGGGTGACAGGGTGTTTTTTGAACAGCAGAATGGTGACAGTCTCACAAGACACCAGCTGTGGTTTTGCGTGGCCTTCCTCATCTGTGTTGGCCAAGGGCAGCCTGGCTCGGAACAGACGTTTGATGGTGAATTGGTGAACTGGAACACTTTCTGTTGCTGTATTGAGAAGACCTGGATCAACAACAGAGTTTGAGCTAGGAATCAAATCAGAGTTGGAATTTCTCTGTCCCCTTTATTGTGCCATCCTACGCAAAAACCTCTGCCTCAGGAGACTTTAACTGAGAGTTTCTGAAAGAGCTGAAGGCAGGCAGTGCTGCATCACACCACTCGAGTGGGACGACTGTCACATCTCTTCTGAAAGCACCGCTCCTTTACTTTATATCTCTTTTCATTGTGGTAGTTAATGGGTCTGTGCTCTCAGCACTGACGGTCTCTGCGTAATACCCTCCAAAGATTAAATCAGGTCTAAGTACTTTTTTTTTTTTAAAGAAGCATTCATCAGATGAGCATGTGTCTGTTACTTTTTCACTCTCAATAACACAGTTCTCTGCAGAGAGATGTAATCTCACTGTTGTCGCTTGTGCAGCCTCCCTGGCAGGTTGGTCCATTTGTTTCGTGGCTGTGAGCAGCTCTTCGATAGAAGCTGTTATTGCAAGCACATCTTCTACCGAGTGCCGGTTCTGGAAGTGGATATGCTGGAATTTTTTCCCCGGGGGGGATGTTTAACAAGGAGAGGCAGTTATGAAATGGATTGACATGACCAAACGCTTAGTAAAATAAACTCCCAGCTAACTGTTTCGCTATTGATTCTGTATAAATTAGCCTCCAGCACCGAACTGCAATGAAAGGAACCGGTGTGTGATAAATGACGTTTCCTTGTTAGGCAACATAAAAGGCATTTAAGCAAACTCGCCCTGCATTTGTGCTGTCTTGGCCATTAGCAGCTTTTACAGGAGGAGGCTGATCTGTGTGCTGAGCAAGGGTTGCGACAGTCCATGCAACATTTGAGACTAGCAGCACTTTCTTGGAAGGCCTGTGGATGAAAAAAAAGAACAAATCCAGAAGGTTTTAGTCTCACAAAGAGCTCTCACTGATTATTCAAAGTGAGGTTAGATGTTCAAGGACAGGTTGGATGGTGCTTTGAGCAACCAGGTCTAGAGGAAGGTGTCTTTGCCCATGACAAGGAGTTCAGAACTAGAAGATTTTTAAGGTCCCTTCCAACCCAACTATTACACAATTCTATCCTTTGGCCCTGTGTTTCTTACTTGGGGTGATGACCACTCATTTAGAGATCGTTGCTGTAATATCTGGCCTGGCTTTGCCTTTGCTGGAGAGGAGTGGGAGGTCAGCGGAGGGCTCAGATAACCTGTGAAAGACCTGTTTCTTTGTTGGTGTGTTGAAGTGTACAGAGGTACTGCTATGACGGGAAACAACTGGCTCTGTCTACACCCACCTGCAACTTAGGAGCTTACGTACCTGAAGGAACTTGTATGTTGAAAATAGAATGCTCCAAGAAGAAAAATGTGTTTGAATAGGTTACTCAAATTCCACCAGCCTCAATCAGTCTGGGCCACTAAACGTGTGAAGAAGTTTTTGTGGTCTGAGGCAAGATGGGTTATTGACTTTACAAGGTTTCTCCCAGCAAGATCAGAGATGCTCAAGCTCAGCAGGTCTGGGAATCCTTGGTGTAGTATCTCATCACTAATAGAGGCCAGCAAATGCATCACTAACAAGTGTTTGAATATAATTAGCATGTGGAGTAGCCTCCTCTCAGTCTCTGAGAGTTAGGGACTGGAGTAAACCATGGAATACCTTGCTTACTGATTTGTTGCTATCACTGTTTTTCATACGGATGTCCAGGACAGCTCCATTTTGAATCTGGATGCTTTTGTGTTCTTCGGTGTATCGTGCACTTCCAGTGTAAGGCAAACTATGCTAAGTTTATACTTCTCAGTGGACATCCTTATTAAAGTCATGCAATGCTGCAGTGACATGCTTCAGTGTTGGTCCTTGACTCTTTCAGACATCCTTTAGCCGTGGCTTTACTAAGAATATGAAGCTGGAGGCAGTGAACCCCAGGAATCCTGCAGAGATATGTGTTGCTTCTATCACCTCGGTTAAAGGACGGTTAATGTGGCTTCACCTTGAAGGTACGTACTGTAAAGGCTTCTTGTGTTCCAGTGGGTCACTCAGAGACTCTCTTTTGTCTTGTCCTTCATCCTCTGCACAATGCTACTTTCTCTAGGCTTTCCTTTTTATGGACATGGACCAATAATATGTTACTAAGGATTATCTTTTCCTGCTCTCTCCACAAGGGAGCCACAAGGCCTTCCACTCTTCCATCTATGTTGACTCTTATCATCATGATCTCTGTTGATGATAGAAACGTCCTCGCTGCCATCATGATAGACCTTCATCCTGGGAATGGATGTTTTGCCTCACCTTGAGTACCACGTTCAGTTTGGGGCACCACAGCATAAGAAGGACACTGAGGTGCTGGAGCATGTCCAGAGAAGGGCAGCAAAGCTGGTGAAGGGTCTGGAGAACGAGTCTTATGAGGAGCAGCTGAGAGAACTGGAGTTGTTTAGCTTGGAGTAAAGGAGGCTGAGGCGAGACCTTATCCCTCTCTGCAGCTACCTGAATGGAGGTTGTAATGAGGTGGGGGTCAGTCCATTCTCCCAAGTAACAAGCGATAGAAAGAGAGGAAATGGGCTCAGGTTGCGCCAGGGGATGTTTAGATTGTATACTGTGAAAAAATTCTTTACTGAAAGAGTGATGAAGCACTGGAACAGGCTGTCCAGGGAAGTGGTGGAGTCACCATCCCTGAAGGTGTTCAAAAAACATGTAGACGTGGCTCTTTGGGACACGGTTGGGTTGGGTATATGGTTGGACTTGATGGTCTTAGAGGTTTTTTCCAACCTTGATGATTCTGTGATCCCATCTGACAATGTGCAGTGCAACTTATACAAGAGGAAAAGTCTTTAATCAAAGCCCTTAAAGTAAGTACAGACATTATCAGGTAATCTGAATCACCTCATCTGTGCTATCAGCTTGCTCTAAAATACAAGAAAGGTGATGTTCAGTGGTGTTTGGCTCTACACAAGTAGCACTGTACTGTAGACAAGGCTTTCTTGACACCTCTGTGATAAATCCCATTCTTATTGCTACCCAAAGAGAGATTCTGCCTAACTTAAAGCTTGGCAGGCAAAAGCATTCATGCTTCTTGTGTCTTTGCTGCTGAGCCTCATGGTTTGGGCTGGCTAAGATCTGGGAAGAGCAGAGATGGGAGATGTAGGAGAGCTGATTTGTCATCCTTCTCCATCCCTGACATGTAGCTGTCACCCCAGGCAGTTTGTCTCCTCTGTGATTATCTCCAGCATGCATAGTTGGTATAGCTTTGCATCTTTGGTTTTGACAGAGCTGTGTGCAATGCTGAATTTTGTTTTTTTTATCTGAAATATCTGATTGCCTTGTGACTTGAGGTAGCCAAAGCTCATCTGCAGTCTGGATCGGACATGGGGCAGGTATTTTTGCTAAAGAGCTGGAATCAAGAAGCTTGTTTGAAATTCAGTTCTCACTAAGGCTGTTGTTGATTTTACACTCATTGGGTCAAGGAATCTGACCCATTTTGGCAGCTCCCCTTCTTAAATGGCCAGGTGCCTTCACTTTTATATGCAGATTTTTTGGAGTTTGGGAATTTTCTATTTTTATTATTATTCTTATTTATAAGCTGTAATACTTTCAGAGGGACTCCATGTTCGCTAAACTTACAATGAATAGGAAGTTCTGTTTCATGAGTCTTTAAATCAGCTAGTTCTCAAAGACTCTGGATGGAGGCAGGGAGAGGGCCACACACGCCCACCTTGCTCCCCTCCTTCATCTCTTTCTCCCTGTTTTTTACTCTTTTAAATTCTTAAAGGATGTTTTTTACAACTTGTCATAAAAAAAACCCCACTGTGTGCATCTCCTTGTCTCTTGAGTTCTGATATACAGAGGCTTTATGCTTGTTTTATATCTCAATACCAGGGACAGAATGATCAGTAGTAAAAGGAAAAGATGCAAAAGACTGCAAAAATAAAAAGACATCTTTGCTGCTGTTGAAATGCATGACTACAGTATGCACCGTGTTTCGCTAAAGCTAAGCATTAAAAAACCCCTTCAAAACGCTGCTTGCAGAGTTGTAAAATAAATGTGGCTTGAACCGTGGCATCTTTTATTTTTTTTTTTTTTACTCCATTAATACACAATTGTTTCTAGATGATTATTTATATTCTGGCAGCAGCAAGACTCCCTGGCTACCATGGGAGCCCATTGCTGAAGACCTTGGGTCCCACCGTTTATCATGGGCACGTCTGAAGCTTTCATTGTTGCCCTCCCAGTTTCGCCATTTGACAGCCCAAACAGCAGCCATAAAACAGGATGCAGTAGTTAAGCAGCGTCGAGTTAAGACGTGAGGGAACATTGCTTAATAAATCACGCTTTGTACAGTAGCAAAACTCTGTAAACTTCAGGGCGAGCGTTTAATGAGCAGCCGTATAGTTCCCCCGTGGTGGGAAAGAAGCGTAGGGCTGATGCGATGCTATGCACATCTCATCACTTTCTGCTACTTTATTACTCATCATCTGCATTGTTAATTTTTACTAGTTCGTTTTAGATTTTAAAGCTGAAGCTTTCTGGTGTGAATTTATACAAGTAATAACGTGCACTCTCTGCGCAGTTTGAGGAAAACCCTTTTGTTAATCACTTCTCCAGGGAGGTTTTCCATAATTTTTCCTTTGAGAGTTCTCTGCTCTATTCTGACCATCCTATTAGATTCATAGCAGGAGACGGAAGTTTTCCTCGCCCTGTTTCCAATCTCTCTTTTTTCCATTTAACCTCTCAAGTCTCATGGACTTAGCCTGAGAAGATGGCAGCAGAAAATGCAGCAAATGAAACTAGTGAGTCTCAAACAAGCTGTTTTTCCACTTCTGTGAGTGAGCCCAAAGGAAGCAAGTGGAAGGCAAGGTTATCAGTGGCCAGAGGGAAGAAGCAGTGCCTGGGAGGGCAGAGTAGCTGTGAATATGTCTTACAGGAGGAGTACTGGTGTTGCAGGAGAGCAGATGTTATGGTGCTTCCTTGCTCGTCAGGGTGGCTGCAGCTGCAAACTTGAAAACCAAAATTTTCATGTCCCATCTGTTAGTGTTTACAGGCAAGGAGGTAAATTTTTTCTGCTTAGGGCTTTATCCATGGCTTGCTTACTTTGTACGTGTCTTGCCACTGACTTGAGCAGTCCTCACATAGCTCCTTGGCTGGATCTGTGGTGCTAGGTGAAAATGTTTGGCCCTCTGGAGAGTGCAGCCTTCATCAGGTCCAAACTGAGCAGTGACCCCTTGATATTTTTTCGTGAAGGGACATGGTTTTGCAGGGCGTGCTCAGCTGCTGAGAGCTTGCACTTATGCTCAGCTGCTGATAGGAGCAGGTTGCGTCCTGTATCATGTGTGCCTTCATCCCATCCTCTTCCCTTCCCCATATCCCGGTGAAGTAGAGACTGTATCTTCAGTATGTGAAGAGCTTGGAGAAATACCATGAAGACATCCATGAATCTATGCAGACATCATGATTTCATGTTCTTAATTATTTCCTCCAGCAGTGTGAACACCAGCACCTGTTCTCCTGCTTCCTTTGGGTTTTCATACGGCCACACACTCTCAGAGTGCAGCAAGTTTATTCCTGGAGACTTTGATCCAAATACTGCGTCTCAGCCTCAACGCCATTCCCATCACAAAGTTCAATTACGGTTTCAATTACCCTGCAAGCCCTTGATGAACATTCATTAGTGGGAAGTTCCCCGTAGTCATCTAGCTGTGCGCAGTCAAACACTGCTGCATTAAGCAGGAGGCAAAGATGCTGTAACAGATGCAAAGGCGAGGATGCTGCACAGGGGAAGCTGCTGATCCTTTGGTCTCTTTGATTAGCAGATCATCTCGTACTGCTGATGGAGCTATAGGTCCTAGGGTGAGAATGGCAGAAGGAGGCGAAGTTGCTGGCCAGGCTATGCCAGCACAGATGGACTTGAATTGGAGTAATTAAATGATATCCTGAGTCAGGACCTACAGTTGTTTTTGAAAGAACT